AAGTTTCTATCTCCATCTCCCTCGCACTCCCTTTACCTGAGTAACGGGTATCTGATAGTCGGGGCACCCGACTATAGCGTTCTCTCTTGTTTTTTAATACATTATCTTGAATATAAAATCCAGGACTAGAAACTAAAACCGAAATAAAACTATAAATGCCACACCAAAATATGATGTTATCTTTTCCTGATCGTCAATAAAAACTAATTTAAAAATCACTTTTTAATCATTTAATAGTTTTTCGTTTTAAAAGTTTCGCATCACCGGAAACTCGCGTCCCGTTAGCTCAGCACGTTTGACAACTTGTAACATTTTCAGACACTACGCATTGGGAGAAAGGAAGAAAAGTGGTGGAATCGCGGCATTAAGGACATTCTTCTTATTCTTATCCCATCGTCCTTTTGCCTTAGCCTTTATGCATTTCCGTCGCCTGGCCAAATATTTAGCAGCCGCTCCACTTTTGCGCTGATAGCCCATTCGAGCGTCATAATAACGAAGATAAATGTTGCGAAAGTTTGCTTGCAACACGCCCCAGGACGAAAAGAAGGACCCATCTCCTGTTTCGCCTGCAGATGCGATTTCTAGTTGCATTGTGTAGTTGCATACTTTTCGGCTGCCGTTTCTGGGGAATATTTTGCGAGAAACAAAGGGACTTGTGCGTAAAACAAAAGTTGGACCGATTTTTCCACCAAGAACTTTACGGATGTGGTGTATTGTAGGGCATTGGACCAATGGGACTGCTTTGGCTAAAAGGAGCAAGTTGACGTCAGTTGAATGTTTTGGTCTCGAGAGAACCTCACAAAGGGATATCGTTTTCTTTTAAATGAGCAAAAGATATTTCTAACATGAAAACTAAATGGGATTTGAATGCACTTGGAAAATGTTGTAGATTTATGGTTTAAAATTTAATTTTATTCACGAAAATCTTTAAAAAACGTTTACTCGAGCTTTGGTTTTTTGACCATAGCCCTGTGAAATAATGGTCAAATGTTGGTATGTCATACCTCGTTGAATTCGTTATAAAATATTCAATCGATTGGCATTCACAGATAAAAATTTTAATTTGAGTCGATTTTTCGGAAAAAAATCATAATGTAATTAATACCTTATAAAAAAGACGAAATTAGGAAAAACAATAATTTTTCCAAATCAACCTAGAATTGATAGTTTAGGGCCTCAACTGCACAAAACAGTTTATCAGTTTAAATATGTTTTAAATGTCTAAAATCCGACAAATTTTATAACAACTCTAAAATATTTTATTTTCTGCGATGAAAAAAATATACCATTTCAAGACTACATTTTATAAAACAATATCAGTTCATTCTGTTTTCACGCTTAATAACTTAGTTTTACAAACTACCAAAATTCCTGCAAACTGATTGTGATTTAATCAAATTGCTCAATTGATTAGCCAATCTAAGCATTGTTTTTGACATGGCTTTGAGCCCACTGACTAATGCAGTCCCTATATAAACTTTGTATACAATTTTTGAAGTTTAATGAGAAACTAGATGAACAACAAGAAGGGCAACTGCCACTGCGACAACAACCATCGACGACGACAGCAGCGACGACAGTTTACACTGATGCTCGTTAGTTCTACGCCAAAAACTTTGCCTTCGCCTTTGCCCTTCGCTTGGGAACACGCCCCCGGATGCCCCATTTTCCCGATTCGGGGCAACTGCAATTCACAAATTTCTGTATGGCCATGGGAAAAGGGAAAAGGACTATCAAGCTGGGGCAGCTGCTTTGCTGGATTTGTTGTCCTGCCATGTCCATGTCGGAGCCGTTCTCGTTCACTTGATTTATGTCCAATGCGTCTGGCAAATGTTTTGGGACATCCCGATCCACTCCCACAATTCCCGTGGCTGCCGCCTCGCTCTTGGCTTTAATTAAAAAACTAAAATAGATGAGTGGCCGGGTAATTTGTCTAGATTGAAGCTCTCAAAAGCAATTTGATTACTACTCGTAACAAGCTATAAATTATGGCGCAAAAATAAATTACTACTGCTTGGTTAAAAATCGAAAAGAGTGGTTAAGAGTTTCAATGGAAAAATTAGCGCTTTACTTGCTGTATTTTACCAGGAGTTAATAAACAATTTTGAAAAGTATTAAATATTTAATTAAGCCATTAATATTTATAGTATTAGATTTTAATGTTATTTTTTAAAGCCTATAAAATTGAATTTCGTTAAGGCCTTGGCCTTAGCCAAATGCAGAAGCGGCCTATTCCCAAAATATCCCATAGCATTTATTCCTAAAAAGGAAACTTATTTATAGTGGTTTTCTCAATAACCGGTAATGCGGAAGCGTCTTAAAATAGGTTAGTCAGACTTATAAATAAAAGCAAGCAGCCAAGTTGAAGGCACATTTTTGTGCCACGTTCTTGCGGCTTGAATTTGCACCACAGAAGAGGGGGCATAAAGTAGCTCTATAAAAATAACTCACAGATGCTTTCAATAAGACAGAAGCGGGCCAAGGGGACACATTGCATACTATACATGCCTCACATGGCACACATTCACTCAGACAGAACGAACAAAAGAAGCCCGAAAGGTTGAAGGAAGCCACTGGAGCTGGCTTAAGAAAATAGCTCATACGCAGCGTGTGCTGCATGCCTCAAATGCCACAAAAACTGCTTAAATAAAGAAGAAGGGCAGCAAAGAGTCGCAAAGTCAGTGGAAAAGTATACCACAGTCATGACTTCCTTTGGCAGCTGCCGTGACTTGGCCACTTTCAGTCTATGCACTTGCTTATTTTCCAATTTATACATTAAACATGGTTCGTCGAGAAAAAAGAAATGTTTACAGGAGTGCTCAGGCTGTGCTAATTTCTATGGGAAAGGATATCTGGGAGCCATATGATGCACATATCGCTTATTAATTTAAAACAAAAGGTAAAGTTAGTCCACTTAAAATGCAAGTCACTTGTGAACCTCGCGGATGTGATGATTTCTAGGAATTTCATATTTATTTAGTTTTCAAGAAAATAATACAATATGTTTATAATTAGTAAATATTTCTATATATATTTTTAAGTGTACCTATAAATCTAATTCAAATTCTACAACCTTGAAAACTGAATATTTCCTTACAAATTGCTTATTTAAAATCCCCAACTTGCTATTACCTGCTCGATTCATGATGATATTCGGATGAAGGAAATTATTGAATATTTTATGAGAGTTCCCCGAAACACATTTAAAGGCCGCAGATCAAAGAAAACACATGAGCCAGGCAGAATCCATCCGCAATGTGACCCCGAGGCCATTTGAACATTGAGCACTTGATTTGAATATGCGCACCTGATGTCGGCTACCTGGCCTTCTGATGATTGAGTTTACCTGGTTTTGGAAGGGCTTGGGAACGAGCCAGTCCCGTCAAACTTCCTTCAATCGAATTGCCAGGAATAGAGCGTCGAAGAAGCTGATGATGTCGATGCGGTTTTTCGGCTTCGCGGCACTACAGCCTGAAATCCATCATCAGGCTGCTCGAATGCAAACGATGTTTGGAGCAAATGAAGGGGGACTGCGATGGGGGTACATTGTGCCACTCCTGCAGCTGGCTGAAACCACAAATTGCAATTAGCGTCAGCATTTCACCCCATTGACCTCGACTGGAGCTGCTAGCTCAGCTTTTGATTGATGATGAACGCTAATTTCTGACCTTTTTTTGCGGTCTCGATCTCGGAATTTAGAAACTATATTTTGCATTTTGCAAGTGGTCTAATGATTAGCGACATTAGTCTAATGATCAATGAAAGGCGAAGAAGAAAGTTATTATAATTGTAGTTTTAAATAAACAAAAGTTGATAGTGCTTAAATCTTAAATTTTCTAGCCGTACTTTAATTATTCCAATATTTATTGAACATATAATTTCCACAACAATGTATATAAATTGTATTTATAATTTCTCTGGAAAAAATAAATATTAATCTTTCATTTATACCTTTGACTGGTTAATTATATAATTTATATATGAAAATAAATTATCTTCAGAAATTATCTTCAAAGCAAAATTATTGAAGGCATCAATCGAAATCAGAACAATGTCTTTTAAGGGTATCATTCAGCATAAAAGTGAGAGTAAAATTTGCAAGTGTGGGTGTGAAAAAGGGGTCTGCATGTGTGTGTGGGTGCGTGACCATTTCCGCGGTTGTTTCTGTGTGTGTGTGTGTGTGCAATAAAGCAGCTCGTAAATTTCTCCTGCAGTTGACCCATCTCCCCCTTTCACTCGCGCATCCCTTCGCTATCTCCCTTCCTCACACCATTGTATACACTTTCTTAGTTACTTTTTTTATTCGCGTTGAACAATTTTTTTCGCGTTCCTCGTTTTTGCTATTGTATTTTTTGCTGCTTTTATATGATTCGGGCTTTGCTTCGTTTCTTTGGCTATAACGCAAATCCCCCTGCCGGCCCCTCCCCAAACTACGCCCCCTTTTTGGTCCTGCCCGCATCCTTTCCGAACAATAGCTGTGAAATAATCACTTGCCTGTTTGCACTTTATTAAGTGGACAGCGGCGCGAAAGAGACAGTGCGCTCCGGGCGAAAGAGATGGCAGCAGTAGATTTACTGACCCAACTTTAAGTCGCGCTTTATTGTCGAGCTTACGGAACGAAGTGAATTAATGCGGGACGCGATGGAGTTTTCATTTTTAGCCCTTTGCTTAACGCTTTTATTGCTGTGATGCAGTCAAAGGACACTCTTAACCTTTACGAATATTAATGCAAGTGTCAAAGAAATACTTAAACAAATATTACCAAGTAGTAGAATTATTAAAATGAATCATTAAACCCTGTTGACTCAATATTAAAAAAAAACAAAGCTTTTATCTTTTCTACCGAGTGCAAAAGTGATTTATTTAATTTTTTAACAATCAAAGATTAAAAGCTACATATTTGCATTGCCCTACTGAGTATGTGCCATTACAATTTCGATTTATGAGTCGAAGTAATAATATTAAGTGAAATTTAAATTCATTTATTTGTTTTCCTCATCTTATTGAAACTTCTCGGCCAAGTTGAACTGCTTGATAACCGTCACCACAGAAAAGGCCAACCTCACCATCTGTAATAAAACAAGTGATTACAATCATTTAAATAATATTTTTCAACTTACATCTAAATTGGTTTGCATGCAGATAGGAAACACTCCACCAGCAGTAAGAGTAATGGGTTCCTGAAGATTGTGAAGAAAGTATACCAAAGTGGACTTATAGCGACGGTCGGCGGATATCCAATTCGAATGGAACAGACTGTCGGCCAGGTCCTGGCAATCATCGATTATGATATTGCACAGGTAACAAAAGGGAAACGTCTCCATTGACACGTCGAACATAAAAAGGCATGTGGCGACTCCTGACCAAAAGGTTGAGAAAAACATCAAGTTGATCATCGAGAGACCCAATACAGTGCCGATCAACAGGAACTCCACGAAAATGGTGCCTGAGAAGGCAGGTCGCAATGCGTTGACATAGCTAGGTGATAAGTTATTTTTTAATAAATACTAAGTCACGCCCTAGGACAAGTTATTAGCTATTTTAAGGGCTTTAAAATATTACCACATCAAAATAAGGTATTCTTAGTGAGTTAGCAGTTCTGGTACACCATGTTTAATTAGAACTTACTCCAGTATCAAACGATGATCCCGGATGCAATTGGTCAGTTCCTCCATGTACTCATCCTCAGTTTTCCCTGGCTCCGATCGGAGATTTCTCAGCCGATCCTTGAGGAGGGTTATGTGACAACGACCCATCAGCATATAGGCCAGGGGACTCACATCCGTGCACATGTCCATGTAGATGCACTCCAGCATCAGTACACACTCTGCGATGCTCGTGAGGTAAAAATGGAGCTCGGTGTTGATCAGGGGGAAGTACATTCGCCAGGCGTGTCGTCCTTGCAGCAGGAAATACGGAAAGTTCATGACTACGAACGTGGTGTACAAAATGTGAAACATGACATAGCAAAGATTTGCCCAGGCCACATAGCGATGCACAGTGGATCTCTCCGCATCTCGAACACTCTCGTCCAGTCGATTAAGTATTAGCTTGGCCTGCTCCCGTTTCCTGAATCCAATCATGGTGAAGGCGCACTTAAAGGAGCTTCCGTACATGTTCACTCCAATCTCGAATGAACTTAGGAACTCGCTTGCCGAGAAGCTCTTGAATCGCTTAATATACTCGATGCTTATCGATATAGGCATGAAGATTAACATCAAACAAACCATGAATGCGGACCACAGCTTGTAGACAAGACTCCATCTTTGAAAAGTAGAAACACATTAGAACACACTTAATAAATATGCTGGAAGTAATCATCGTTCATTTGAAATGTTTTTATTAAAAAATTCAATATAAATAAATTGATATGATCCGTGTTATTCTTTCAAATTTTTCAAATTGAAAACCTTTAGAGGTTTGACTATTTCTGAATAACATTTTTACACCGATTTATGCACATTTAATTTACCTCTTCTCAGAAGGCTCTGCCCAGCCGAAGGACCAAATCATCCGATCCAAGTAGATGAAGGCATCGCGGGAATGAACCACTTCACTCAGTGGCTTTTCCTTGGTGTGCGGAAACCATTTGGTTAACATCTTGTCCGTGGTTCCTTCGTGGATTTGAAGTTAGTCCGGCCACTATCGCCTTTTATATGGAAAAATGTCTGTTGTGGTTGTCTCACATGACTTGACACTTTTGTTTAAACTAAAAAAGAACTTGACCTTAAACGAATAAAACATGTGAGAGCTGTTTAACAATTCTTTAAAAAACCTTTTCGAACCGCCGCTTAATAGAAATATTAAAAATTCCATTACAGTATTCTAAAATCTTGAATCTTTAATCTTTATTCAGATGCCAATTTAATCCACCGCAATTTACTTTCATCTGAATGCAATTATGATATACGGCATTCTGGGAACCGTAAACCATTCTTCAATCGTTAAACGAGAGCGACCTTAACATGCCATTAACCGAGTAAAACATTACCAGAATCGACATTAATTCACATGTATAGCTTCATTCTGCGATGGAGAACAAAAGCCCCTTTTTTTCGCCACTTTCATTGCCATTTCGTCTGTCACTGCGTTGACCATTGGCGGTGTTAATCAGCGCCACCGCGATGTCATGCAACCGAAAAATGATTGCCGCCAAACACATTATCTGTGTTATTAATGAGCTGCAGGCCGCAGACTGCACTCTTCAAAAGACGGTATTCAATTTTTAAATAAAATGCAAGTTCATAGGCAAAAACAGACCATTAAATTTTCTTAAGGAAACTAACTAAATTGTTTTTAAAAATATTTAAAATATCTAATAATTAAAAACAAAATTCTATAGGACATAAATAATAGAAGAAAATAACTCTAAGCTAAGAAATAAAGCATACATTATAATTAAACATAGTAAAAAGTTTTTACAAATGTATTAGAGAAGAAGAATTTATATGACTAAATCACAAACCTTTACAGGTATGCCACTTTGAAATCGAAATACAATTGATTAAGTTATGGGCTTATGGCTTGATATTAACTGAGTAAAGGATTATCTTTAAGATCGGTGGAAAGTCAAGTTGCAACAAAGATAAACATTTAAAAATGAGATCCACTTATAAGAAAAAGTGACATGCGCTTTTAAAATGTTCAAAATTTCTTGAAAATAAGAGCTTACAATTTTCTCTGAGTGTATTGTGTGTCCTGTTCATTGGAATCATGGTTGATTGAGTTGGTCGAGAGGACTGCTGTGGCTTCTCCTCTCCCAAATATCTCTCCATAGCGCTCTTTGCACAACACACGGCATTCTCATTGTATCCTTGCTTTTCGGGTGTTTAATTAATTGAAAGCATTTTTGCCAGCGCTTTGCGGCCGCTTCTCATTTTGCCGATTTCCCGGCGAGCGTGAAGCGTCGACCGTAATAATATTGACTCATTGGCATTGAGGACAGACACACACACCAACGAACACACAGGCACACAAAAGGACCTCCACAAATATGCAAATTAAATGCACTCGCAGGGGACAAGCCATTCATGTCCCCTAGAATCTTTTGTCAGTTCTGTTAATTAATCGAAATATTTTTATCACATTCCGTATTAAGAAATTAATCATTTTTCTTACCCTTGAATTTTTCGATGTTATTTTCAGTTAAAGGATATTAAATATATATTTTGAGTGCCAAGTTTTATTAACAACTATTAATATGTAAAACTCTAATTCTGCGTGCTTCGTCTTTTACCCTTTCTTTCTATGAATACTCATCAGGGCATTTAAATTTCGTAATGAAATGTTAAGATTTCTTATTGTGTTATTAGCAACTTGTTAGTTCTACTAAGTGCGTACAATTTTTAGTTGCGAATAAAATTGAAAAGTAAGTATATATTTGTGAAATTAGGTTGCACTACATTGTATTAACGAAATCTTTTTTATGATTTCTCTTATTGAAACTTCTCGGCCAAGTTGAACTGCTTAATAATCGTCACCACAGAAAATGCCAACTTTACCATCTGTAATGAAACAAGTGATTACAATAAACATATCATGAAATATAGATCCAACTCACCTGCAAATTGGTTTGCATGCAGATAGGAAACACTCCACCAGCAGTAAGATTAATGGGTTCCTGAAGATTGTGAAGAAAGTATACCAAAGTGGACTTATAGCGACGGTCGGCGGACGTCCAATTCGAATGGAATAGATTATCGGCCAGCTCCTCGGAATCATCGATTAGCATATTGCACAGGTAACAAAAGGGAAACGTCTCCATTGCCACGCATAAAATAAAGACGCAAATTCCGAGTCCCGTCCAAAATGTTGAGAAAAACATAAGGTTAATTAACATGAGACCCAGGACAATACCGATTAACAGGAATTGCACAAAAATGGTACGCGAAAACACAGGTCGCACGGCGTTGACATAGCTAGAAAGTAAACCAAAATAATTAAATGATGTAACTGTAAAATATTTTTTTACTAAATTAAAAAAGACTTGTACATACGTACTAATTTACACAAATTATAAATAATGAATAATTGTTCGAACTCTTACTCCAATATCAAACGATGATCCCGGATGCAATTCGTAAGATCCCTGAAGTACTCATCTTCACTTCTTCCTTGATCCGATCGGAGGTTCCTCAGCCGATCCTTGAGCAGGCTGATGTGACACCTAGTCATCAGCATATAGACCATTGGGCAGACATCCGAACACTGTTGCATTATCACCACTGCAGTCATCAGTGAGCCTTCCAGAAGGTTGGACAAAAAAATAGTCATCGGGCTTGAGCAGGGGGATATACATGCGCCAGGCGTGGCTACCAATTGCCAAGTAGCCCACGAAGTTTGTGATCACTCCGCCATTGTAGATTAATTGGTACATGAAATGGCAAAAATTTCCCATGGCCACATAGCGATGCACCACGGACTTCTCCGCATCCCGAACACAACTCTTGTCCAGTTGATCCAGAATCCTTTTCGTCGCCTGTAGCTTCCTGTATCCAAGCACGATGAAGGTGCACTTAAAGGAACATCCATACATGTTGACCCCAATACCCAGGGTATTCAGAAACTCTTCCGCCGAGTAACTCTTGAAATTGTGTACGTATTCCACGACGATCGAAATCGGCATAAAGATGAGAACCACAAAATTTATAATAAGGGTCCATACATTGTAAACCAGGCTCCACCTTCGAATAAAAAGATATTTGTCTATGGACTGCTGATCTATTGGATTTCATTCACCTTTTGTCTTTGGGTTCTGTCCATCCGAGGTACCATATAACCCTCTCAAAGTAGATAAAGGCATCGCGCGATTGAGCCACTTCACTTAACGGACTTGCCTTGATGCGTGGAAACCATTTACTCAACATCTTGTCTGAGGTTGCTTCTTGAATATGAAGTTAGTCCGGCAAAATCACCTTTTATAGGCCCAAGTCGGTTATGGTTTTCACACATTTTTAACCAGAAGAGGAGACTATAGTATTTGTGAATAATTTTGAATTGACCAATATGGCTAATAATAACACAGCACATACACTATATAATTTACCACATGGTACTGTTCCAACCCAATTTTGGACTGCATTTTATATCTTGATTATTGTACGTATACGCAATATTGCAGAAGACATGGTTATGATAATTTAATCGGACTTAAATATAGACACAATTATATTTTTTATTTCCAATTACTGGTTAAGCCAGAGAAACTCGGATGTATTCTAACCATTTTAATGAATGTACTCATTCAATTCAGACAAAATAAACCAGTTGTCGCCTTTAAAATAATGTAATCTTCATATTTCATCTACATGGCATATTTTATTTAGAACCTTTAGCAATGTTTTTCCGTTTAATTCTTTATTTTTAAGACTTACAAATTTTTTTTGAAGTGTGGAATTTGTAACCAGGGAAAAGCGGTGGTATCCTCGCCTAAAATCGCTCAAAAATGTACCTTCTTTATAATTATACCCTTGAAGAGGGTATTATAATTTCAGTCAAAAGTTTGCAACGCAGTGAAGGAGACATTTCCGACCCTATAAAGTATATATATTCCTGATCAACATCACCAGGAGAGTCGATCTAGCCATGTCCGTCTGTAGATAAAGGCATCGCGCGATTGAGCCACTTCACTCAGTGGCTGCTCCTTGATGCGTGGAAACCATTTACTTAACATCTTGTCCGCGGTTGTTCCTTGAATATGAAGTTAGTCCGGCAAAATCACCTTTTATAGGCCCAAGTCTGTTATGGCTTTCTCACATTACGTTGCAGTTGTTTTTACAAGAAGAAGAGTCTATAGTATTTGTGTATAATTTTTAATTGGTCAATGTGGCCAATAATATCACAGCACATAACGAATACTATATAATTTACCATATGGTACTTTTCCGACCAAAATTTTGACTGCATTTTATATCTTGATTATTGTAGGCATACACAATATTGCAAAAGACATGGTTATATTATACACAAATATATTTTGTATTGGATGTATTTGAACCATTTTAATGAGTACATTTAATTCAGACAAAATAAACCATTTGTCACCCTTAAAATAATGAAGTCTTCTAATTTCATCTAAATGGCCTTTAGAACCTTTAGCAATATTCTTCCATTTAATTCTTCATTTTTAAGACTTACAATTTTTCTTTGAAGTGTTGAATTTTTAACTAGGGAAAAGCGGTGGTATCCTCGCCCAAAATCGGCTTCTTTATATGTATTGAGTGGTTTTACAAATAATTCACTGACCAAGTCTCATTAGTTGATGGTTATTTTGAGGCCTTATAAATTTAACATAAGCAAAACAAACCACCGAATGTGGCACACAAAGCTTCGAAATATCTAATTTATAAATTATATTCTCGAATTTAATTAGCTTGCTTCTCGATGACAACATTTGCAGTGTTTTGTGTGTAGTTCTGACACTCGCGTAATTGAAATATTCTTCATAATTAAACGGTCTCATTTGTTGCTATGTGTTCGTCCAATTTGCAACCAATTTGCGCGTTAAAACTCGTAATATAATATCACACAAATATGATGACAAGATTGCGTTGATAAATAAAAATGTGTTCAGTAAATAAAGCTTTTAATTTGGCTGATCCACAAAAACAGAAAGAAACATATTAGAAAGCTAAAATTGCACACTAATTAATGGTTATTATATCTAAAATACCAAATTAAAAAAGCAATATGGTTAAAAATAATGAAAAACTGGGAATTTAACTATTTAAATTTTAACTTAATATAATACAATAATGCAGTTAAAAATGCAATCGAAATTGTGCAATTTGAAAATAGGTAAATCAAATTAATATAATTTTAAATCCACCGCAAACCGCGTTATTCAAATAAATGATGAAATTTCTTTCATGTTCATCCCTTTACTGATTGCATTTATTTCGCTGTTGAGTCTGGACTGCTTTCGAGCAAGTTAATGTTAATTAAATAAATAAAAGTGGAATTCTATATAATATTTTTCGAGTTAAGCCTTTGACCAGTCCTCACATGGCAATGCTGCCCTCAGTTGTCGTCAATCCTTTGAGTGAATGCAATTTATTTTAATTGCAGGCAGCAGGTCACGGCTCAAACGAACGTAAAGGAAAACAATTTCAAATGGCCGTAAAATTACGCCAAAAACGAATGGAATGAATGGAGAAAAATTTTGTTTTCGCTATTTATTTTTCTGCCTGTCTTGCTTTTATTTTCTAGGTCACGAGCCCATTAAAATTTTAGCACTGACAGCAAACGAAATTCCAGCTAATTCTTAACCCAATTGAATTCCACTATAAACTATTAATATTAACTATTATGATCTTCATAAATTGTATATTATTATATATTGCTATTTATTGTCCTCAAAAAATTACTTTATCAACCATTCGATCAAATAATAACCAAAGAGATCACAGGCCCCTTAACTTTTAAATAACAACTTTATTATTATTAATTTTTAACTAATTCGAATAGCATTTGTCAAATTGTAGTTTCGAATAAATTGTTATTTTAATAGTGGTTTTGGTTATTAAGTGATTGTCTTTTGCATTTTCTTAATTTGTACATGACTCTATCAAATATTAAGCAATGCAAACAGTTGCTTTCTATGAAAATTCGCTATTCTCTTCAAATACATTTTTGCAAGATGTGGAAATTCCAGCCTAATCGCGTGCTCAAAAGAAAACGTCACTTGCAGCTGTCGCAGCAGGTAGGAAAACTATTTAGCGCCAGCTGCCTTGGGTTCCGGGATTTCAGAGATTTCCCTGTAAACAGGAGCAGGTAGTCGATTGCGATGGTATAAGAATCGGCCACCTCTGACCTCAGACAGCACTGCACTCTGGACACTCAAAGCGAACAGATCTTGTCGCAGCACTCCGATCTATCTTTCAGATATACATTAGTTACTCCTAGAGAATCTACACAATGGCCGAGCTACTTTTTCCACAATTGGAGCGTCCTTTGCCGTCACTGCCATCGCTGCACTATACTCTATTCGCCTACAGGGAGGAATTGCGACGACGCGATGCTCCATTCATGAAGATGTCCACCATTAAGCTCCATCTCACGGACAATCTGATTCTGCAGACGATCAAGAACATACGGCAGTACGACACCATGGAGATTATGAATCTCAACCAGGAGATCAACTTCAAACGGCGGTTGACCAAACAGATGCGAAAGGTGCGCAAACTGGAGAAACTCGGCCTCAACATCGATCCCCGAAAACTGGAGAGTGACCAATGGCACTAAATATTGATTTAATGGATCTTTGGACACTCTACTAAAACTCTGACGTATATCATACACACACCCACTATTCATACATACTCTGAGCATGTGAAACTAAATTGTAAGCTAATTTTCCTTCAGTTTTTAAAACTCAATAAGCCGAACAAACTCTTTTAAGTCTATAAATTTTTTGAAGAAATAAAAACGAAAATCAAACATGCTTGTGGTTTTGTATTTAAGTTTAAACGATTGACAAGAACATTAATAATTGAAATATTATAATAGTTCACCTAAATGTGTGAGAAAAGATTTATTATTTCCAAATTAGCGTTGAGAAAATTGCCAAACAAAAATATGGCTAACATAATTCGTTACTTTCTAATAGCAATATTTATTTTTAGAGCTCATCCAGAAATATTTTCAGCGGAACAATCAGACAACATAACCGCAGTTACTGAATGGAAGATAAATCAAAGATCCCTTATTGATTGTTCACCAGGAAAGGTCTTTCTGCTGACTCCAGAAAATTTCTATGGCACCTCTGAAGGCGGTATATTCTTCGTAAAGTTTTACGAACCGAATTGCATTGGGTGCCAAAATTTTGAGAGTATCTGGACTGACTTGGCCAAATCATTTAAAGCCAAGGGAAATATTTGTTTTGCCGAACTGAATTGTGAATATGCTAAAGTTATATGCAACGACTATGAATTACGCTACGAACCGAATTTAATATGGCTTGATAATGGATTTGAAGTTAGCCGATATGATGGAGACTTAACTTTCGAGGATGTTCAAAAATTTGTTTTCAAAATGAATAGGGCGAATGACACCATTAACTCTTCTCCAAAAACGATACATTTTCATACTTCTTGGATTTTTGCTTTGACGAGAGGTGTGATCATGTTTATGTACTAAATGTCTTGGTTAGGTTTAAATATATTTATTTATTTATAGAAAGTTTGTTCACTTATATTAAGTCTTTAATTTAAGTATTCGAATTGATTAAAAGAAACGCATTTTAATTATTTTAGAGAACTTTTGTCAACTAATTGCACATTTTATGCAAACAGCACACACATGTGGGTGGTTAAAAGCGAAAAAAAACAAAAACCAAGAACATATTTGTTGGGTGCTGCAGCGACCATAAAAAGTTTCGACAATGGCAGCAACAAACCACATGAAAAATGTCTGGAAAAGCGTAAATTGTTTTCTCAGCAGTAAGTTCCACTTATACCCACTAGTCGTTAAGTTCTGGGATCAACAAAAGTGTGGTTGACCAAATTTGAATAATATTTTTGTATGATTTTCAAGGCTTGCTTGTAATAATTTTAGGCTTTGGGTCAGAAAACAAATTCCTTAGTAATAATATTTATTCCTATTTTCAGGGTAAGCTTTACAAAATGATGGCTTCCTCTTTTCCTAATTATTATATTCTCCGTGACGATTAATTTACAAATTTATTTTCAAACATGCAGGTGTATAAAATAAAGTACGAATACTTTGACTGCCGGGTATTTACTAGTCACAACACCTGACTATATACTATAATTTTCCCTAACCGGAAGAAAAGCTGCAAGCATGTAAATTTGTATATGTGGGTGGGTGAGTCTCAGTAATTTAGTGCGCCATTCAAAATGTCTCTTCTTGGGGCGCGGTTGGTATCCTTTAGGGAGAGAAAGGATCTGGCAGACGAGGAGTATGTTAACTTGCAAAACAATGCATACATGCACTTGGTACTTTCAAGGGCTTTTCTTACCATTTCCTCGGTAAAGGCAAGTTTTAAAGAATTAACAATTGTAAACATTCTAGGGCCATACCGAATAAGGCCAGTCAAAAGTTTATGAAGGGCACATTACCGACACTATGCATTATGTATATCTTCCCATGTTCATAACTTTACGAAATTAAAACCGATTTCAAAGTGACATACCTCTAAAGACTTGTAATGTCATTATCTAAAAATCTGCATCCAAATTTTTCAATTTAACGTTGATCAAAATTTGGACTTATTTTCATGTAATTTTTTTTTAAGTTTCCGATGTCTTGTAAAATGTGACTCAGAATTGGACTTTCCATGTGCATAACTTTACCTAATTTAAACCGATTTCAAAGTGACATACCTCTAAAGATTTGTTATGTCATTCTCTAAAAATCTGCATCAAAATTTTTCATTTTAACGTTGGTCAAAATTTTGACCCATTTTCAATCATTTTTTTTAAGTTTCCGATGTCTTGTAAAAAGGTAACCCTCAATTGGACTTCCCATATTCATAACTTTACCAAATTTAAACCGATTTCAAAGTGACATACCTCTAAAGATTTGTTATGTCATTCTCTAAAAATCTGCATCAAAATTTTTCGATTTAACGTTGATCAAAATTTTGACCCATTTTCATGTCATTTTTTTTTTGAAGTTTCCGATGTCTTGTGAAAAGGTGACCCACAATTGGACTTCCCATGTGCATAACTTTACCAAATTTAAACAGATTTCAAAGTGACATACCTCTAAAGATTTGTTATGTCATTCTCTAAAAATCTGCATCAAAATTTTTCGATTTAACGTTGATCAAAATTTTGACCCATTTTCATGTCATTTTTTTTAAAGTTTCTGATGTCTTGTAAAAAGGTAACCCACAATCGGATTTCCCATGTGCATAACTTTACCTAATTTAAACCGATTTCAAAGTGACATACCTCTAAAGATTTGTTTTGTCATTCTCTAAAAATCTGCATCAAAATTTTTCGATTTAACGTTGATCAAAATTTTGACCCATTTTCATGTCATTTTTTTTTGAAGTTTCCGATGTCTTGTGAAAAGGTGACCCACAATTGGACTTCCCATGTGCATAACTTTACCAAATTTAAACAGATTTCAAAGTGACATACCTCTAAAGATTTGGTCTGTCATTCTCTAAAAATCTGCATCAAAATTTTTCGATTTAACGTTAGTCAAAATTTTGACCCATTTTCATGTCATTTTTTTTGAAGTTTCCGATGTCTTGTGAAAAGGTGACCCACAATTGGACTTCCCATGTGCATAACTTTACCTAATTTAAACCGATTTCAAAGTGACATACCTCTAAAGATTTGTTTTGTCATTCTCTAAAAATCTGCATCAAAATTTTTCATTTTAACGTTGGTCAAAATTTTAACCCATTTTCATGTCATTTTTTTTAAGTTTCCGATGTCTTGTAAAAAGGTAACCCTCAATTGGACTTCCCATATTCATAACTTTACCAAATTTAAATCGATTTCAAAGTGACATACCTCTAAAGATTTGTTATGTCATTCTCTAAAAATCTGCATCAAAATTTTTCGATTTAACGTTGGTCAAAATTTTGACCCATTTTCATGTCATTTTTTTTTATGTTTCCGATGTCTTGTAAAAAGGTAACCCTCAATTGGACTTCCCATGTTCATAACTTTACCAAATTTCAACCGATTTCAAAGTGACATACCTCTAAAGATTTGTTATGTCATTCTCTAAAAATCTGCATCAAAATTTTTCGATTTAACGTTGGTCAAAATTTTGACCCATTTTCATGTCATTTTTTTTGAAGTTTCTGATGTCTTGTAAAAAGGGCACCCACAATTGGACTTCCCATGTGCATAACTTTACCAAATTTCAACCGATTTCAAAGTGACATACCTCTAAAGATTTGTTATGTCATTCTCTAAAAATCTGCATCATCCAAATTTTGACCCATTTTCATGTCATTTTTTTTTGGAAGTTTCCGATGTCTGGTAAAAGGTGACCCATACTTAAAGTACCAACCAAATGTAAACTGACGTTCAATGGACTTCGCTGACTTAAAAAAGCAAAATCTAACAAAAAAAGCAAACACAGTGAAAGCACGTCTTTGTGTATTTTGATACTCTTGAGAGGAATTTTCTTAGAAATTGCATTTCAAATACCCAGGAACAAAACAACAAATAACTAACAAGAACAAGGGGAAAAAGAAGTAACGTTAAGGAATGCACTAAAAAATAGAAAAGGAAGGCAGGCAAAGAAAATATTAATCCGAAGAACAGAACAGAAAGTTTTCGCCGCCCGCAGAAGTTTTCCTCTTCTGTGGAAGTTTTTATTTTTTGGCTCGAAACTTTCGGTTGCCACTCGAGCAAAACAGCTCAATGGCTGGAATGTAACTCTGTGCGAGTGTCAAAGTGCAGACGATGCTGACAGTCACTCACAGAAGTACACCCACACATGAGGCCTGCATCGAGGCACTGTGGTCTGTGAGGGTTAAGTACCGAGAAAAGTTTCAGCAGCCGACTTGGGTTGTTATTTACCTTAGAAAAATAGAGGAGAAACAGCACACACAAATTTTCACTATAAAAACTTGAAAACTTCTTGGTTTTGGAAGAACATTTTATTTTGTTGTGAATATGTTGGTTATTTTTATAAACCACATTTTTTTGATGGACAATTTTTTAGGACAAATATTTATTTTTAAAGTAGTATAAACGTTTAAAATCTATTAAAGAAATTTCTGTAACTGTATGGTTTCTTATTTAAAAAGCCTAACTACTTCAAATATATACTATGCAAAATATTCCAAATAAATTCGAGTTTACCTGATCCGACTAACAGCTTTTCATCATCAAACACATATCAAATTCCAGCCACATACCATCCTAGCCACGCTGCCATGGCCATTTATTCCCCAACCACTGTGGGAACCATCCACAAAATCGCAAAATATTTTGTCCTGCAACAAAGGAATCCCGAGGAGAGGAGACTATGAACCGGCAAGAAAAGGCCAGGCTAGAAATGAGCAAAAATTCCAGTCGATCCAAAGCGTACCCTCCACCTTCCACTTCACCCACCAAAACCCAGTTGAAATATGCACAAAAGAAATGGAATGAAGTGTATCGAAACTAGTCGTGACACAATTTCTTATGCAAATTGCACAAGTCATAGGGAAGATATCAAATATCCAAATGAAAATGGTCAATTCATAAATTCTTGCGCCAATAACATTATCGGCTCGTAAAAGCGGTCACCCAAAAACTGAAAAATAAAAAAGATACAGCCGTCTAAAATTACGTCTCGGGAAAATGGTCCACACACACGTAAAATAGAGACATGAACTGTTGCCAACAGATAAATGAGGCACTTGGGATGGGCATGTGGCTCGAACTGAACTCGTAATATGTGTTGGCCAAAACGAGCATAAAACGAAGCCCGATACAATCCCAATTGAATCAATTGAATTGAATCGCCAACCAAAGGTTTGAGTTTATCGATGTGCGGATGTGCGGGATAAGGGAAAAAGGCAGAGAATGTTTTTGCTTTTTACTGTGTTTTCATACCTTGCAATTGAAAAATTCAAAGGTTATTTTAGATTTGCTTTAAATAAAATGTTTTTGTATTTATGAAATATTATATGAACTAAAAACAAGAAAGGAAAGCTAACTTCGGGCGGAGCCGAAGTTGAAATACCCTTGCAGAATATTCTGCAAATTATATTCTCCAAAATTATTCATATGATGCATTTTTAATACTCATAAAAAATCCCACCTTCCTAACTTTAAAAACACCAAAGTTATTTCATTTCCGATCAATCAGTTATATGGCAGCTATAGGATATAGTCGGCCGATCCTTATGAAATTTAATATGTCGAATTGATTGGGCAAAAATAAAACCCATAGAAAATCCCAACTTCCTAACTTTACAAACACCAAAGTTATGGCATTTCCGATCAATCAGTTATATGGCAGCTATAAGATATAGTCGGCCGATCCTTATGAAATTTGGTAGGTCGGATTGATTGGCCAAATATAAAACCCATAGAAAATCCAAACTTCCTAACTTTACAAACACCAAAGTTATTGCATTTCCGATCAATCAGTTATATGGCAGCTATAGGATATAGTCGGCCGATCCTTATGAAATTTGGTAGGTCGGATTGATTAGCCAAATATAAAACACATAGAAAATCCCAGCTTCCTAACTTTACAAACAGCAGA